TCATGATCCCAGGGTCCTGGGATCAAGCCCTCCATCGGGCTCCCTGCTTGGCGGGGGCCCTGCTTCTCCCTCTCCCACTCCCCCCCGCTTGTGTTCCCTCTCTCGCTGTGTCTGTCAAATAAATAAAATCAATTAAAAAAAAAAACCAAGATTTTAGGAAAATAAAACTATTATTATATTCTGAATATAGTGGTGGGTAACAAAGCTTATAGTATATTATGATTCCTCCTTTCTAAGAATAACCTCCCTCTTCCAAAATTTTTTTTTTAAAGATTTTATTTATTTATTTGACAGAGAGAGAGAGACACAGCGAGGGAGGGAACACAAGAAGGGGGAGCGGGAGAGGGAGAAGCAGGCTTCCCACGGAGCAGGGAGCCCGATGCGGGGCTCGATCCCAGGACCCTGAGATCATGACCTGAGCCGAAGGCAGACACTTAACGACTGAGCCACCCAGGCGCCCCTCCAAAATATTTTCAATCCATTTCCATTCTCTTTTCGTTCTGACTCTGCCATAATTTGCTATTCATCTTAGAAAAAATTAACTCCTTGATCTGCAGAGCAACTTCCTCGTTCATAAAATGAGGCACACAATCTAGGTAGTGCTTCACAACTACTGAACTTTGGCATGCTGGTGTCCTGAATGTGGATTAAGGAACTGACCTCTCCTGCAATGGGGCAGCTAAGAGGGGTCAGGGAGAGCCAGAGCTCCCTGGGTCAGTAGCTCTGGCCATGAGCCACCTTGTTTGGGTCTCCTTAGAGCAGCCTGTGTAGAGCAGTTCGGGATGTATGCCAAAGTAGCAGCAAGCACTGTGGACAATAACCAGCAGTTACAGTCCTGCTGAGTATGCATGGCCAAGGAGATGCCTATCACATGGGCATCCATATGCAAAGCACTTCACTGCCCATAATGGACCAGAGAGATGTTGGAGCCAATACTCAAGCTTGTGATCCAGATCCAAGGGGCAGAGCACACAGTCTCGAGGGCAGTCTGTTAGAGGGTGAAAAAGGAGCCTGGGCAGAGTTGGGTTTCCGGTGGGTTCAACTCCAGGCAATGCCCTTAATATTTTTCTTAACACATAGTGGCTGTTTCTACCATTTGTAGCAATGCACTCTTTTTTTGGTGCCCAGGCTAGCTGTTGACAATGCATGCATGTTCTGAAAGCTAGAGTTTCAATGTGGAAATCCAGATATAAAAATACACTATTGGGTTCCAAATCCATTTGCATTATCTTATGAAATTGCAATATTACCTCTGTCAATAAAAGAAAAGGAAGAGTTGTTATTCTTTACATATAACTGTAAATTCTGAATGGTTGTATAATATGGTTTTAAATATTTTATCACCCACTTATGTGATCAGAGTCCCTCACTGATAATTACTATTTGGAATATGAGAAGTTTATCATTAAAAAGTTTAGATCGGGGCACCTGGGTGGCTCAGTTGGTTGAGGTTCTGCCTTTGGCTCGGATGGTGATCCCAGGGTCCCGGGGTCAAGCCCCACATCGGGCTCCCTGCTCATCAGGGCGCCTGCTTCTCCTTCTGCCTCTCCCCCCCATCCCCCCCACTTGTACTCTCTCTCTCACTCTCTCTCTCAAATAGATAAATAAAATCCTAAAGAAAAAATTTTAGATCAGAAACTGCATAAAGTCACTTCAACCATAAAACCTAGTATCAAAATATATTCACAGAAACAAGTTCCAAGTTGATCATTAAAAAATGTGGAAAAATTTGATTTATTCAAATGCAATTTTTAATATCTTCTCTAACACATTCTAATTTATTTTATCATTATATAAAGACAATGCTATGAATTTTTTTTTACCATTGTTTAGATGCTTCCAAATCTTGTTTATGTAACCTAGTGTGCTGTGCAAAAATTATCATTTTCTGTATGTGCTGTGATATGAAAGAAGTTGAGAGGCCCTGATATTATTTATTTATTTATTTATTTATTTATTTTTTCTTTTTTTAGAATGAGAGAGAGAGAGAGAGCATGAGAGGGGGGAGGGTCAGAGGGAGCAGACTCCCCGCCGAGCAGGGAGCCCGATGTGGGACCCGATCCCGGGACTCCAGGATCATGACCTGAGCTGAAGGCAGTTGCTTAACCAACTGAGCCACCCAGGCGCCCGGCCCTGATATTATTTATAAAGTGTGTCTGCCACTTCATCTCACCCTAGGACCCTTGTCCCCTGCCTCCCACCCTATATACTCTTTCTCTCTTACATTTTTTTAAGATTTTATTTATTTATTTGACAGAGAGAGAGAGACAGAGAGGAAACAAGCAAGGGGAGTGGGGGAGGGAGAAGCAGGCTCCCAGCCGAGCAGGGAGCCCAATATGGGGCTCAATCCCAGGACCCTGGGATCATGACCTGAGCCGAAGGCAGACGCTTAATGACTGAGCCACCCAGGCGCCTCTATCTCTCACATTTCAAAGAGAGCCAGGGCTACAGGGGTAGACAGCGGCCAAGGTTCAAGTCTGTATCCAACAGGGTCAAGAACTCCAGCATGGATATTTGTATGAGATACCATGTGGCTGCAGGGCTGGAGGGCAAGCTTAGACAAAAGCATAAAAAATAGCTAATGTCTAAAAATCACAGAGTCTTGGGGTGCCTGGGTGGCTCAGTTGGTTAAGCGACTGCCTTCAGCTCAGGTCATGATCCTGGAGTCCTGGGATCGAGTCCCACATCAGGCTCCCTGCTCAGCAGGGAGTCTGCTTCTCCCTCTGACCCTCTTCCCTCTCGTGCTCTCTATCTCCCATTCTTTCTCTCTCAAATAAATAAATAAATAATCTTTAAAAAAAATAAAATAAAATAAAAATCACAGAGTCTGGATGAACAACAAACCTGGACAAATCCAAAGAGAGGAATCTACACTTACTGAAGGACAAAAGATGAGAATAAATGGACTGACATACCATGCTCCCGGATGAAGTACTTAGTAGCACATTTCCCATTGTTTCTCATATGAATATAAGAATTTAATACAATTCAGGGACGCCTGGGTGGCTCAGTCGGTTAAGTGTCTGCCTTCCGCTCAGGTCGTGATCCCAGGGTCTTGGGATTGAACCTCATAGCGGGATCCCTGTTCAGCAAAGAGTCTGCTGCTCCTTCTGCTCTTCTCTAATAAATAAATAAAATCTAAAAAAAAAAAAAAAGAATTTAATACAATTCAAAAAAGAAAGAATAATAGCAAATTATGATTGTTATTATTGATTAGAAATAACTTGGTTAGGAAACATCTAGACAAACATCCCCTATAGTGAAGCCAAGAGATAAGTCTTGATCACCCTTGAAGTGCCTCTTAGGTACCCTGGTGTGGATACCATCTTCCTAAGGTCTTTAACTTCGTGTTTTTCTAAGTACTCAGAATTGATGAAGTTATGCATGACTATTCCACAGTAATCACAGTAATCAAACTCACAAAGCCTTGATGTATAAACAAAACACTAAGGGTATACATTTTCTGAACGTCTTAACTACTACTGTTGGCTATCAGGAGTACCTGATAAGAATCCCTAATGGTTTGCTTGTGATATGGGATCATAGTAACAGGAGGAGGCTGGTTTGGAGCACTATTTCATCCAAGTTATATTAAGGCCTGGTGACTGGTTTCTGCCGCAGAACAGAGTACTTCTTGTTCACGTGTCCCAAATAAAACACCTGTTCTGCTTGGCAGTGGTAGATAAATATCAACAAATTCTTATTCTTTGTGTTCCCTTTTCCAAACTCCAAACCATTCCCCATTTAACACAAACTGTTTTTCAAGCAGTTTATATTTGATTTGATTTCTAATCTTTCCAAGGGAGGGCTTGATCAGTTCTAAAGGAGCTGCTCTTAAGGACTGCTACATTAAAATACGGGGCGTTTCTAAGCAGGTCAGGGAGCCTTGTAAATTGTGGTCGCTTTTACCAGTATCTCTGTTTAAGTATGGATCCGTAGATTATTTACAGCTCTCACAGGTGTTGGAGACCACCTAATTTCACCCCCATTTTCATTAAAAAAACTAAAGCTCAGTAAGGTCGAATGATTTAAAATTACTTGGCTATATCAAGAAAGGATTATTAGATCTCTGGTTTCTAACCCTTTATCTCGTTCGTTGTTATTTCGAGACCGAGCTGGAAACACTAAGGTAAACATCACTCGCACATAGGAAGCCTAACTGGCCATCCTTTTAGAAATCTTGTAAATCATTCCTTAAATTGAATCCGCGAGAACAGCTGCTTCAGCTCTTTCCACAGTAACCAGAAGTTAGTAAACAGTGGCGACAGATTTCTTGAGTTCGGTGAGCACTTAATGAACTGACCTCGACCAGTTCTGCCTCAGCTCATTAAGGGTGAAATTTCACTATATCAGCCGCATTTTTGAGGGCTTTCCAAGGTGCCTATGATTCATGTAAGTCGGGGTCGCAGGAATGTTCTGTGCGGGCCCTCACAGTGGGCGTCGGAGTCACAGAAACTGGTCTCCGGCATCCGGAAACGTGTGAGGAGATGCAGAGGGAGCCAGAGGGCTTTCTTGCAACCTTTAAGTACAAGAGAGAAAAGCGGGGTTTTATTCAGGCACGGGAAAGAAATGAATTCGTAAATGAACACCGGGAGGCCTACGTGGGGGAGGGGAAAGAAACGCGAGAAGAAAGAGAAAGGCTTTTTTTCCTCCGGTGACGAGCGGTCACAAGGCGTTCTCCCGACGTGGACGCTCGCCATTGGCTGAGTCCGAGCTGGCGTCACCGCAGCAGCCCGAGCGCGAACGGCGGAAAGGGCGGCACCACACTGGAAGTTGGCGAGGCCCGCGCGCTCCCGCAGCCCGGCCCGCCCCCGCTCCCCGCCGGCCAACCCGCTCGTCCATTCTCTCTTCGCGCCCAGTTGGCCACGCCCCATTCCCAACTCGCCCCTCCCCCACCAGCACGGCGGCGCGCGGAAAGCGCGTCACGTGATAACTAGCCCCGCCTCTTCCTCTCGGTCCCATATTGAACTCGAGTTGGAAGAGGCGAGTCCGGTCTCAAAATGGAGGTAAAACCGCCGCCCGGTCGCCCCCAGCCCGACTCCGGCCGTCGCCGCCGCCGCCGGGGGGAGGAGGTATTAGGGGGAGAGCGGGGGGTTGATGGGTAGTGGCCGGCGTGGGGGGCCTAGCTCGGTGGGAGCGGGGAGGCCGGGTGGACCGGATCGGCCGTCCCGCGCTCTGCGTTGAGACGGGCGGTGGGGGGGGGAGGGGAGCGGGCCTCAGAGGCCTTCTTGGGGCCCCTCGCCCTCCTCGCCTTCTCTTTCGGCTGCACAAGTGGCCCCTCGGAGGCGCTGCGTGGCTGGGGAGACCTCGGGAGGGGACCCGGCTTGCCGGCCGCGGGGCCTCAGATCCGAGGCCGAGGGCGGCATGGCGGGCCCCGGCGGGAGCGGTTGGGAGGAGACGGTGGGGGAGGGGACGAGCAGTCACATCCGGGCGAGCGAGCGAGCAGGCGGGCGGCGGCCACATTGACATTGATCCGCTGCCGCGTTACGAAATGGCGCATTGGGCCGCAATGGCCGCCGGCTCGCTCCGCCGCCGGGAAAGAGAGCGCGGGACTGGAAGGAAGCGGGAGGAGGCGGCCTGGCAGAAAATGCCACAAATGGCCTCGGATCTTGCGGCCTACTGCTTTCGCTGAAGTTAATGCCGGCGCGTTTCTAGTCCTTTCAGATCTCTTAAGGCGACGAGAATTTAATTCTCCTGTTTTTTTCTTCGCAGTACCCAGTTGACAATACGAAATTTTTTTTAAAAAAAAGTTTGCTGCTTTAAAATACACCTTGATCTGCTATTCTTGCTAAAGTACTTATACGTAATCTTCGCGCCATGTGGGTCGGCTCGTTGTAGTTTTTTTGGATTTTTGAGAGGACTGCAACCACAGTTAAATTTTTCATGTGTTTGAGATCATTTTATGTGGGTTATAATTGTTTTTTTTCATCTGTGTTGTATCGATTAAATACAATTAACCAAGATTTGAAAAGATGAGACCAACTTTATTGATGCTTTAGGCTATTAATCATTTAACATTTTTTTCTAGCATGTGACAGTCTTTTCATATTAAATGCCTTAACATCTCTACTTTGGAAGACACGAAGACATTAGAATGTAAATGTGAGCCCCTTTATTTAAGGAATTTGGATGAACTATACTTAATGCATGCATTAAATGGCAGTTCATTTAATTTACTGAGGAGCTAGTTGAATTGCAAACAAATTCAGGCTGTACCTTAGTTTTTTAACTGTTGTGCTCCATTGTCAAAAAGTATATACTACGTTTAATATAAGTGCAACTTGCCCTTTTTGTAACCCTGTAATATGTTTTTGAAATTTTTGTCCTGTGATACAAGTGCAAATAGGTAACTTTACAGTATATAACCTAAAACATAAATTGGTTACAGAAAGTTATCAAGATAATGGTCGGTTTCTTTTTGTAATTTTGGGGGGGTTTAATTGGGGAATACTATTTTAACCTTGCTATGCTAGAAACTGATGAGTTTTTTAAAATTTGGCACTCAGAACCTTTAAGTTACATACTAAACAGCTTTGTGGTTTAACATTAAATGTTTGAAGTGTAGACTGATGAGGGAAGACATGAAAAATGGCATGGATGGAACACTACTTCTACAGCACTTTGGTTTCTTGAAGAGCAGTTTGTTAGTAGCAACTTAGAAATTTGTCCCCAGATACTTTTAGTTGTAGTCTAAAGTTAAGGGACTTTTGATTCTGGAATTTTCTGGACTTAAATGTAGTTGAAGTGATGTTGGCATTTGAAAGGCTGTATAGATTTAATCAGTTGACGTGATCTTACTCCAGTTTTTAATTGGACAAAGTGTTAATGGTACAGGAATTTGATGCTGGGTTTATTATTTGTAGCAGTTTAAAGACTTGTGCATCTCAGCAATTGACCTGCTAAAAGAAATAATTAAAATGTATTTGTTTCCTCAGGGCCATGATCCAAAGGAACCAGAGCAGTTGAGAAAACTGTTTATTGGTGGTTTGAGCTTTGAAACTACAGATGATAGTTTAAGAGAACATTTTGAAAAATGGGGTACACTTACAGATTGTGTGGTGAGTTACTAATGGAACAAAAAAAGGTTAAGGGGTGTAGGACCTGTGCAGATATATTTCAATACTTAAAATTTTTTGTTTTGTAGGTGATGAGAGACCCCCAAACAAAACGTTCCAGGGGTTTTGGTTTTGTGACTTACTCTTGTGTTGAAGAGGTGGATGCAGCAATGTGTGCCCGACCACACAAGGTTGATGGGCGTGTAGTGGAACCAAAGAGAGCTGTTTCTAGAGAGGTATTTTGATGATACTACGCTGTGTAATATGTGAGATTGTTGGAGAATTTGGTTTTTGACTTTTTTTTTATTTGTAGGATTCTGTAAAGCCTGGTGCCCATCTAACAGTGAAGAAAATTTTTGTTGGTGGTATTAAAGAAGACACAGAAGAATATAATTTGAGAGACTACTTTGAGAAGTATGGCAAGATTGAAACCATAGAAGTTATGGAAGACAGGCAGAGTGGAAAAAAGAGAGGATTTGCTTTTGTAACTTTTGATGATCATGATACAGTTGATAAAATTGTTGGTAAGTAGAAATTTATTGGAACTTGAATGAGAAAACAAAAGGTCCCTTTGTGCTATGTTAGATTTGCCAAATTGCCTATTTTGTATTGCATTTAATAGCATGTAAAGCATGTGGTTCAGTTTTCATAAATGACATTTTAGAACACTGATTCCCACTCAAAGTCACTACTTTCTTTATGATGTTTTAATGTTATGTAGTGATAGAGCTTATCATTTGTATGTGATTTTCCAAACCTCAAATAATTTGTTTGTTTGTTTGATTAAAAAAAATTTTTAGTTCAGAAATACCACACTATTAATGGGCATAATTGTGAAGTGAAAAAAGCCCTTTCTAAGCAAGAAATGCAGTCTGCTGGATCACAAAGAGGTGAGTAGTACAATATATATACATAAAATAGGTGTGAGTGGCATTTGTAAAGTTTTTAAAGCTCTCCCTTGCCCATGTTAAAGGTCGTGGAGGTGGATCTGGCAACTTCATGGGTCGTGGAGGAAACTTTGGAGGTGGTGGTAACTTTGGCCGTGGTGGAAACTTCGGTGGAAGAGGTAAGAGGGTTATCTTTGATTGTCTTCCTGAAGTTGATTGGTAAGTTGTATAGTTTTAATTCCTATCTTGCTTTTCGTCAGGAGGCTATGGTGGTGGAGGTGGTGGCAGCAGAGGTAGTTATGGAGGAGGTGATGGTGGCTATAATGGATTTGGAGGTGATGGTAAGTTTTTAACGGATGTTTGATATTTTAATTCTGTTCCTATATTTTATGGAAAGTTACATATTTGTTTCTATTTTTAATTTTAGTTACACCTTGCATGGCTTGACTATATTCAAATATGATTCTGAACTAATACCATGAAAGACTAGACTTCCCCCCTCCCCCCATAAATTTGCAACATTAGCTAGTTCCTTTTTTTTTTTTCTTTTTTAAGATTTTATTTATTTGAGACACAGCGAGAGAGGGAACACAAGCAGGGGAGTGGGAGAGGGAGAAGCAGACTCTGGCTGAGCAGGGAGCCTGATGTGGGGCTTGATCCCAGCAGGCTGGGATCCTGACCTGAGCCAAAAGCGGATGCTTAATGACTGAGCCACCCAGGGGCCCCTAGCTAGTTCCTTTTTTGGTCAAAAATATTGTACTAGCATTTGAGCTGAATTTTCTGTCTCAGGAGACTGTTCACTGTTTTCTTTAGTGAACTTTAATTTTTAAAAACAATTTTTTTAGTATAAAAAGATACTTAAGCTTTCATCTTAATTCTCACTAGATCAGGATTTTTGTTTTTGTTTTTTTTTAACTTGAATTATTTTGACAGAACACAGGCAGACAGGATTGGGAGGGAATGGCAGAGTTCGGAGAAAGAGAAGCAGGTTCCCCACTGAGCAGGGAGCCTGATAGAGGGCTCAGTCCCAGGACCCTGGGATCATGACCTGAGTGGAAGGCAGACGCATAACCAACGGAGCCACCCAGGTGTTTCTAGCCCAGGTTTTTGATGCTCTGTTAATGAGATAGTACCAGTCTTTCGAGTGTTAAGTCACTGGTTTATTTTCAAGTTGACTAATTGTAATATAGAGTTGAATAACTTGACTTTACACATGTATGTTTTTGTGTGACTCCCTTTTTTTTTTTTTTTTTTTAAGGTGGCAACTATGGTGGTGGTCCTGGATATAGTAGTAGAGGAGGCTATGGTGGTGGTGGACCAGGATATGGAAACCAAGGAGGCGGATATGGAGGTGGTGGTGGAGGATACGATGGTTACAATGAAGGAGGAAATTTTGGAGGTGGTAAGCTTTCACTTGTTTTAAATGTTCAAAATTGTTTAACTTCAAAAAGTGTTAAAATGTAGCATTTGGTCAAATAGTAATATTAGAAAATCCTCAAATGATGAATGATTAAACTGAATTTTCTTTGCTGGCTATTTAGCAAATTGGTAAATTATGTTCACTTTATGTAATTGAAATGGGCATTTTTCAGTAATGAATTTTGCTAGTATTTAGTGCTAATTCTGGGCACTTTTATTTTTTTTTTTTTTTAAGATTTTATTTATTTATTTGAGAGAGAGAATGAGAGAGAGAGAGCACGAGAGGGAGGAGGGTCAGAGGGAGAAGCAGACTCCCTGCTGAGCAGGGAGCCCGATGCGGGACTCGATCCCGGGACTCCAGGATCATGACCTGAGCCGAAGGCAGTCGCTTAACCAACTGAGCCACCCAGGCGCCCTGGGCACTTTTAAATTGGACAAATGGGAACTGCAAATTGAATGCAGACACATTGAAATGAATAGGGTGTGGTCTGGAGTTCAGGGGACAGAACTTGGAATTTTAACGTTCTAGGTACATTTCAGACAATAAGCAAGTTTGCATCATTATTCCATGATAACTACAAATAAAGAGCTTTGTTATAAACAAATGCACTGAATTTTGTTGGGGTGCATTAATGTTTCAACTTTTGGTTTTTAGTTGTTTTTTAATTTTTAAATTTATTTTTTATTTCTATTTTCTTTAAAGATTTTATTTATTTGAGAGAGAATGAGAGAGAGCACGAGAGGGAAGAGGGTCAGAGGGAGAAGCCGACTCCCCGCTGAGCAGGGAGCCCGATGCGGGACTCGATCCCGGGACTCCAGGATCATGACCTGAGCCGAGGGCAGTCGCTTAACCAACTGAGCCACCCAGGCGCCCCAATTTTTAAATTTATTTCAAGCTCTGTGCCCAACATGGGAATCAGACTCGCAACCCCCAAATCAAGAGTTGTATGCTCTATCCACTGAGCCAGCCAGGCACCCCTAGAAAATTTTTTCGACCAGCCATTTTAGATACCTTTTCTGTCATTGACTTAAAAGTTATGCTATGTCCGAATTAGAGTGAATCAAGCAAAGTTGATAGTGGTATGAAGACAAGAATGTGTGCTAGGGTGTTGGCATCTGATGTGGGCAAAAGATGGCACCTATCTAAATACATGCTCTTCTGGACCGTCTTCATTATTTCTCCTCTCAATGCCTGAGGTCTGCTAGTGGGCCTCTTGTGGAGTCGGTAGTTCTATATACGTTTTTCGAAGGGTTGCATTGTAAGTGTTCCTAGTGTGCTGTTGTGATTGTGGAAAGATAATAGTCACATATATTAAAAGAGGAAAACAATTGTGTAGGTTAACTACAAATAAAACTTTTGTAATTTCAGGTAACTATGGTGGTGGTGGGAACTATAATGATTTTGGAAATTATAGTGGACAACAGCAATCAAATTATGGACCCATGAAGGGGGGCAGTTTTGGTGGAAGAAGCTCGGGCAGTCCCTATGGTGGTAAGTACTCCTCCCCTTCCCCCTTTTGGTTAAAAATTTTCATGGATTTCTTAATTTAAAAACTTAAACATATTTAAAAAAAAAACTTGTGTATTTCTAGGTGGTTATGGATCTGGTGGTGGAAGTGGTGGATATGGTAGCAGAAGGTTCTAAAAAAAATTCAGAAGAAAAGGGTAGGTATCTTTAAAATTTTATCATGATGATAAAGAATATGTGGAACTGTTCACTGAGTGTAATAATTTTTTTATCCTGTATTATTCAACAGGCTACAGTTCTTAGCAGGAGAGAGAGCGAGGAGTTGTCAGGAAAGCTGCAGGTTACTTTGAGACAGTCGTCCCAAATGCATTAGAGGAACTGTAAAAATCTGCCACAGAAGGAACGATGATCCATAGTCAGAAAAGTTACTGCAGCTTAAACAGGAAACCCTTCTTGTTCAGGACTGTCATAGCCACAGTTTGCAAAAAGTGCAGCTATTGATTAATGCAATGTAGTGTCAATTAGATGTACATTCCTGAGGTCTTTTATCTGTTGTAGCTTTGTCTTTTTCTTTTTCTTTTCATTACATCAGGTATATTGCCCTGTAAATTGTGGTAGTGGTACCAGGAATAAAAAATTAAGGAATTTTTAACTTTTCAATATTTGTGTAGTTCAGTTTTTCTACATTTTAGTACAGAAACTTTAACAAAATGCAGTTTTGAAGGTGTTTCCTTGTGAGTTAACAAGTAAAGAAGATCATTGTTAATTACTATTTTGTATGAATTTTGCTAAAGTTAACTGTAAAGAAACACCTGCTGACTTGCAGTTTAAGGGGAATCTATTCTCCGCATTTCCAAACCATGAAATGAATGGGCTCTGACATGTGGAGAGAATAGATATTTGTATGTTTGCAATGTGTGTTTTAGATAAATAGAATTGGGTATTTAAATTAGCATATTTGTGAATTTAATAGCATTAAGATTTATCTTCAAATGAAAAAAAATCTCAAAATTCTTATTTGGTTTTTGTGCATTTTCTTTCAAAATGTAATCATATGATTTTAGTGTGTTAGTTTTGCTGAGTCCTAGCCGTGTTTAGAACATCTCCATTCTACATTCACCTTGGTCACATGTGAACTGCCATAGTTTTATTTGGGTGTAAAGAATGTCTACTGCCCTCTGTTTAAAATCTGGAAAGGGGTAGTGGATGTTATCCCTTTCCCTTAAAAACCATTCTTAAAAACTTCAAAATACAGGACCACTAAGCCTGTTGTGTTTGAGCAAATTAGTGGCTATCCTTTTTTTTTTTCTTACTTTACAAAGCACAAGAGGCCCGTAAGTCTTCAGTTACTTTCCTTGGTTTAATATATATATTTTTTTGATACAAGCTTTCAGAAGCAAGAGAATAAAAATCATGCATTGTTGGAACCCTTAACTGGCTGGCATGCTTTCCTGTTTTGTACCCTCTCTGTTTTATTGGATAAAACCAAGGACAGTCTAGATAAAATCCCAAATGACCTTACTGCAGTAGAAGTGTAGCACAGTTGCTTAGTACAAGCTTCTCACTTCCCAGAGACCTGAACTCAAATTTGAATAGTCTTGAGTTCTTCTTGCTCACTCAAAATCCAAAAGAACACACTGTTATTCCATGTGTATGCTTGAACCTAAATCATGTTGGTATGAGTTAACAGTTTGGTTTGGAAGACCTTGGTTGAGAAGAGTTTCAGATAAGGTCATATATATAAACACCAATGTCTACTGTTTTGCGCCAGCTAGTGCTTACAATTTCATTCAAGCCCTAAGTTATGTGCTCTGCTGTTGTTCTTTCTTTGGCAGTTGAACGTTGAATTCGAGATTATTTTTGTTTTCAGAAGTACTAAGCAAAACAAGCAATAAAAAGGGGAATGGGGCGTGCTAGTGTTTGAATATGCTCTCTTGTTGCTCTAATTCTGTGCCTCTGTGCATTATTAATATTTGGATGCATGCAATGCCAGCATGGAAATCGGTCTTCACAGATACTGCAGTTTTCCAGAAAACACTCACAAACCAATAAATGTAACAGACAACATTCCATTTGTTAATGGACATATGTGAATAAGCAGCATAGAAAATAGGCTAATAATTAGAAAATGGTTAAGTCTTTAACAACTTCAAATGTGGTTATATAAATGGACACTGTCAATGTTCATAACTTAAACCTGGGTACCTGGTCAAAGTACTGCTTGGGAAACATTAAAATTGAGCTAAATTGTCTCAAGTTCTTTTATTCATATAATAAAGGTTGAAGGAATGGGGGAGATTAACATTTCCTGTTTCTATGTTTGTGGAATTGTTTGACACAACCTTGACAGTATCCTTTAATGGCATATGAGGTTAATTGTGCTGTTAACAAACTTTTTATGTTCTGGAACTAGTTTAATAGTGAAAATATTTTCAGTAAGTTGATGTTTGCAACCTATAAGCAGGTGAAATCTGTGTATGTGACCTGTTTATAAGTTGTATTAGCTTAGTTCTTGTGAACAGTGTGGAAAAGTAAGCCATGAGGAGAGCGATTTAACCAGCTTTAAAAGGACCTAAGATGTGCATTTTAAGCACAGTCTGGATCAAAGGAGACTCACTAAGACAGGACTTCAGCAGCCTTTTGAGTATGGACAAGTCAGCATAAATAAAGAATGACAAGGCAGCAGCAAGAGCTTCAACTACAGAGAAGTGAAGGCATAAGATACTATGGTGATAGTGAGCAACTTTCCAAAAGCTAGTTAAATCTGCTTATTACAACTGAAATATCGAAGAAAGTCTAGCAGGAAGGAGCTCTTCGCCTTTTGGAACATCAATGAGAGATAGTTGCCACAGTCACTAGGTCTAGCATTTAGACCTGCGAGGAAGGGCAATAAGCATTAGGTAAGGCTTGAATTTGAATTTTTTCACTAATTAAAGAGTAATTTTTTGTAAAGCAAGGTAAGAGTAATCTTTTTGATTTGCAGGTTGAATGAGAACCCTACTTGCCTAAATGAGGAATGTCTTTCCTACCATCTTAAATACGAAGGTTTCTGGCTGGGTAAGGTTTGTAGCTCACAGTAAAAGCTGATGACACCATTTGTTTCCCTACAAAATACGTATTATATATTTTCAAACTATTAGGTACATCGGCAAAATTATTCAGCTGAACGCTTCGAAAACCACATCCAACACGTTTTAAACAGTTTTAGGCCCTGTAACAATCATGAGTATCTTGAGTCAGATGTGGCTCCATGTATACAATTCATTCTTGGTGTCTTTAGGGTAAAGTTGAGTTTTGATAAGAGGAGTAAGGTAATAAGTATGATGCTTATAACAGAAGCATTGAGCTGCCAGTCCTCATTCTTTGAAAAACACCTTAGATGAACTTGCAAAATTGTCAGGTGTTAGAGATAGAAAAAATGGTCTTCATTCAGGTAGCCTCATAAATTGTCTTGCATATAAATTCAGGGAATTGAGTTAATAGGATACATTTTTGGTTCTTTTAGCCAGAAGTAGGGGCCTAATTATGCTAATGTTCCCTTTTTAGAAGATTTCCCAAAGAATAATTAAAATACTACTCAGTTACTATTCATATCCGTTGGTGATCATAAGGGCTATTGCTGTCCCAAAAAGGGCCTATTAAAAATAAGAGATTTGAGGGGTACCTGGCTGCCTCACTTGGTAGAGCATGCAACTCTTGCTTGGGTTTATGAGTTCAAGCACCACATTGGGCAAACACTGATGCAGTTCATTCAATAGGTTTAGTTTGCCAGAGTTTATTTTCAGGAAATGGTTGGCTTTGTTTCTGTACCTAATCAGATTAGGACTGGATTTCTACACAGAATGAAGTGTTGAAGAAGGTAATAGCCTTTTAATTTTCTTTACAAAAGTGGTTTTAGTGTGGAATTAAGATAGGAAACATTTTTTAAAAGGCATTGTTCTTTAGTCCATCTTATTTCTTATGAAATAAAGTGATTTTATTTAAATGTAGTTCCACTGTCATTCCTGAAAAATGTGCTCTTCAGTCATAGCACCAGTAAAAAAAAGGAAGTTCTAAGGAGGGGGAAATGGTTGAGGCAAACTTTTCAACTGATCTTGTCAAGCCATCTCACATGTTACTGCTTCCCACGCTACATTTTTTCAAAAAAACCTGATACACACAAATCTTGAAGAAAATTGGGTAATAAAGATCATTTATTAAGGATCTGAACAACTGAAATAAGCTTGTCTTTAATAAAGAGTTCCACTATGGAAGTCACAACTTGAAACATCTCTTAGTTAAGGACAGTATCTTGGGAGTTCCAATAATTGATGTCTCAAGTAGTTGAATAATTCGCAAGTTAATGCAGGGGTGATGTATAAGGATTGTTAGCCTATATGATATTCAAGATTACTTTCAAATTTTGATGTTTTACCCTGATTTTTAAGACTTTAAGAGGTGGTCTGTAATGGATTCAAATGTTTCATTTGTAGTATAATGAAATGTTTACAGAAAGATAACTTTTTCATTAAAATATTTTTAGAAATGTGTGTGTTGTTTGTTGCTTCACAGTGTTCATGTGATTTAAACACTAGAGGAATATTACATTAGTAAAATAACGGGAAACTTGGAATGATCCTTTACGTAGTTAGAGATTTATAGATTCTATTCTGTGGAAAACATACATGGCACTAGAAGTAGGTATGGAAAAGATAAATGGAAAGTCTATTAAAGGATGTAAGTTGAATACCAATAGGTGAGATGCTGGGTGACAAGTGAGGAATCTGAACTTTTGAGGGAAAATACAGTTAAGATTATGATAGGCCAGTGAAAGTTGGGAAGAAAGGGGTGGGGCTTCAGATGTTGGAAGAATTCCCCTTCGCCCCCAAAGTGGATTGGTTGAGTCCGGTGTGAGGGTGGGCTGGGAGGAAAAAGCATGAAATTTAGTCTTAACTGCAGTGTGGCATTTTAACCCAAATGTGATAATATCAAAGTGATCAATTTGTAAAGTAGGGCTTTGAAGAATTGTGATTTTTAGGAAGATTTTACAATATACAAGTATTTAGATTCTTGGCATTAAGAACAGTTAGCATGTTAAATACTTGGGAGTTGAAGCCATGTGAGGAATTTTAGCTGTTAGGATATAGCAACACATTTTGCTTGATTACAACATGTATATGCAGTGGTTTCACATTATGTGCAGCTTTAAGTAATTTATAATCCTAGTTTAATACTAGAGTTCCAAAGTTGGCAAGAGTATATTTGCCTTTTTTCAGAATGAAAATTTGAAATGTTCAGGCAACAAAAGATTGGAATCCTCCATGTATTCATAGACTTTATAATCTTGGAGATGAGTGTTTTCCAAAAATTGGACCTTGTTATGGTTGATATGTTAGGATTGTATGGAAAGTACAAAGGATTAAGAAGGGGTAAAGAGTAATAAAATACGCCATTTTTGCTTGATTTTTTTGAAAGACTGGCGATGACATCAAACTACCTTTTAAGTGAAAGGTTAAGTGGACATCTACTGAAAGCTAGGAAATAGGAATTTGCCCAAGATAATTTATTGGTAAGTGTGGATAAATACAAGTACAAGGGTGCTGTCAGCTTAACTTTTAAGACACGAAATGGTTAAGGGCACCTGGGTGGCTCAGTCGTTAAGCATTTGCTTTCGGCTCAGGTGGTGATCCCAGGGTCCTGGGTTGGAGTCCCCTGTCAGGCTCCCTGCTCTGCGGGATGCCTGCTTCTCCCTCTCCCACTACTGCTTGTGTTCCCTCTCCTGCTGTGTGTCTGTCGAATAAATAAGTGTAATGCTTAAGTGTCATCACATCCATGTATATAGCCATTATAATGGTTACAAGGGCCTGTAATCACAAAGATGAATCTCAGATGTTAACTAGTTACACCTGAGGTTAAAATACATCGTTAGTCTGCGTTGTTGACAGAAGTGTTGAATAAACTTTTGTCCTTTAAAATATGTACTTATTGAACTGACAGGTGGTCTATTTGGATTTACTCTCATTTGTCTCCTACTCTTAACATCCTTAATAGGTATTGGAAAATGCAATTAGGGTTTTGTTTCTTAGTATCAAGTTTATCAGTAAAATACTTAAAACAACTTGTTTTGTGAGCTTGGGCAAGTTACTTGGGGTTTCTTTTTTATGCATGCTACACTTTGGCAGTTTGGTGGTGCCAACAGGCTCCTAAGAATGTTGGTTTCATATACATTAAATACGTAATTAAGCATTACATTGAAAATAGTAATCAAGGGGCACCTGGGTGGCTCGGTTGGGATCTGACTGACTTAAGCCCCGGTTGTGAGATAGAGCCCCATGTTGGGCTCTGTGCTGGGCTTGGAGCCTGCTTAAGATTCTCTCCCCCTCCCCTTCTCAAAAAACAGTAATCAAAAAGTTTGGTTTCGTAACACATGCTTCAAGTATTAAATGAGGCTAGTGGGTCTGACTTCGGATTTTGAGGTTGTGATGCATAAATGGTATTTTGAAATAACGAATCTGTAAGGATTTTTAATAGTTTAAGCACTGAATACCATTGTGATTTGTTGTCTCTAATATAAAAGGAAATGTTAAGTTTCATTAAATGTTTAAAGTAATTGAGTTCAAAATTCTGACATTCTGTCCAGATTGTTTTTACCTAATTCCTTTTTTGTAAAATGGAGATATACCTACCCTCATTAAATCTGAAGTTTAAATCTGATAATGGGCTTAAAGAACTTAATCTGGGGGCACCTGGGTGGCTCAGTCGTTAAGCGTCTGCCTTCAGCTCAGGTCATGATCCCAGCGTCCTGGGATCGAGCCCCGCGTCGGGTTCCTTGCTCCGCGGGAAGCCTGCTGCTCCCTCTCCAGCGCCCCCTGCTTGTGTTCCCTCTCTCGCTATGTCTTTGTCAAATAAAATCTTAAAAAAAATCTGTTGTCTGGTCCATGGTCCCTAAAGATATTTTTGGTAATAATTATGGGTACCATCTTAATATCTTCAGGCATAGTTAAAATTTTAATGGGTGACAAAGGTAATTATGCCAAGGTCGTTTTTTTTTGAAGATTTATTTGAGAGCAACAGAGACAACACGAGTGGGGAGGAGAGGGAGCAGCAGACTCCCCACTGAGCAGGGAGCCCAATTCAGGGCTCCATCCCAGCACCCTGGGATCATGACCTGAGCCAAAGGCAGATGTTTAACCTTGACTGAGCCACCCAGGGGCCCCTGTTATTCCAATGTCTTAAGAGTTTTTTTCTCCACATACAGTGACAGTGTTTGAGGTCTTTAAATTTTTCTCCAGCTCTCAAAAAGTATAAAAAGTAACTTAAAACTGAACCTGTCCTGATAAGTTATTTTTTAAGATTTTTATTATTTATTTGACACACACAGAGGGAACACAAGCAGGGGGAGTGGGAGAGGGAGAAGCAGGCTTCCCGCGGAGCAGGGAGCCTGATGCAGGACTCCATCCCAGGACCCTGGGATCATGACCTGAGCCGAAGGCAGACGCTTAACGACTGAGCCACCCAGGCGCCCCCTGATAAGTATCTTTAGGAATGAGAAGTATTTTGTCTACGTTCTGAGGCTTAAGTATGGTTAGAGAAGTAGTGAAAGTTGAGCGGTAGCCACCCCTTCCTAAAAATCCTGGGCTTGAGAAATTTCAGCAAGAAAATGTTTCTTTACGTTAACAAATGTAGTATCGTTAAGATTTCTAAGAATGCTTGGTATACATCAGTGTAAAAGGCATAGGTACACATTTTAAAACTAGAAACTTGAGTTTGATGTTTAATAATTGGATAGCCAAATTTAATCAGGACAGTAAGAAGCTCTAACTCAAGTCCAGATCAAGAGATGAAAACTTGGTTTCGTTTTTTTGTCATGAGGTTAAGATTTGCTATATTTGGGGGCGCCTGGGTGGCTCAGTCGTTAAGCGTCTGCCTTCGGCTCAGGTCATGATCCCAGGGTCCTGGGATCGAGCCCCGCATCGGGCTCCCTGCTCAGTGGGAAGCCTACTTCTCCCTCTCCCACTCCCCCCGGCTTGTGTTCCCTGTCTCGCTGTGTCTGTCAAATAAATAAAATCTTTAAAAAAAAAAAAATTGCTGTATTTGAAAATTTGGTTTCTAATTCTGCATAGTGCAGTATGGTTAGTACTTCAAAGTAATTTTTTCAGGTACTGTACAGAACTATAGTTACTTAAATAACTCGTGCTATCTGGCTAGAAGTTTGTTCAGTCTGCCCGGTATTGTTTTTCACCCCTTGCCAGTGCCAGCCAATTCCAGGTGGTGCTGCTGGTTTCAAATTCATGCCACACCCCCAACACACACACACATCCCTATAATTTTGTCTAAGGGTGGGGCACTTAAGATCCGAGATTTTTTTTCTTGAGGTTAGAAAAATGTCTCTAGGGATCTCACCATCACCACTTACAGAAGATACTTGACTGCATGAGAAAGGCCTGGGGCAGAATCTCAATGCCTATTAACATACATCCATTAAATTTTTTTTTTTTTTTAAGATTTTATTTGACAGACACAGCGAGAGAGGGAACACAAGCAGGGGGAGTGGGAGAGGGAGAAGCCGGCTTCCCGCTGAGCAGGGAGCCTGATGCAGGACTCGATCCCAGGATCCCAGGATCATGACCTGAGCCGAAGGCAGACGCCCCTACTCCCATTAGTTCTTGAATTCATTTTCAACCCTGAGCTTTGTCATTCAATTCAAATTCTCTTAATCTGACTTTAGTTCCTTTCACTAGCAACTAAAAGTGATCCTAATTAACAAGGCTAATAAGGAAAATGAGAAAACACCATTTACAGAGTGCTTAATGAGCTAGGCACAGTACTTTTTGTGTAGTAACTCAAAACTTTTTTTTTTAAGATTTTATTTATTTATTTGACAGAGACACAGTGAGAGAGGGAACCCAAGCAGGGGCAGTGGGAGGGAGAAGCAGGCTTCCCGCCGAGCAGGGAGCCTGATGTGGGGCTTGATCCCAGGACCCTGGGACCAGGACCTGAGCCGAAGGCAGACGCTTAACGACTGAGCCACCCAGACGCCCCTCAAAACTTCTTGCCCTACAGACAGGAAATGAGCCTGAGCGCTTTGAGTTACCGGAGGTCATTGTAGGAAAATGGCAGCAAGCCCAGCCAATCTGGTTATAGGGCCTGTGGACCTCTGCACTGTATCGCTCTTAATGGATTAATAGGACTCTGTGAATAATCCACATGTAGTAAATTATTCTAAATGTAATTCTCAAGATAAATCTCCATTTCCCTACTTTAAATCAAAAGACAAACTGATTAGATGAAATAGTGAATCAGGGGCACCTGGGTGGCTCAGTTGGTTAAGCGACTGCCTTCAGCTCAGGTCATGATCCTGGAGTCCCGGGATTGAGTCCCGCATCGGGCTCCCTGCTCCTTGGGAGCCTGCTTCTCCCTCTGCCTTTCTCTCTCTCTGCCTCTCTCTCTCTCTCTCTCTCTCATGAATAAATAAATCTTTAAAAAAAAAAATTAAAAAAATAGTGAAATCAATGCTGTGAGTGGTCAATTGGACAGCCTGCAAATTTTCAAGAGTTTTGTGGGGCCTTAATTTTTTATGTTTAATCTCTCGATACGTCCTAAAGTGAACGGACTTTCCCACCTAGACTTCCCTTCTCACCAGTCTTCATCTCAGGGCAACTCAGTTCTTAGGCTGTTCAAGTCCTTGACTCCACCTTCACCCAACATCCATTTTGTCAGAAAATTCTTAGTTTTACCTTTGAAACCTGTAGAATCCAGTGCCTTATTCCTATCACCACCCTAGACTAAGACAACACTATCCCTCCCATGTATTTCAGAGCTTCCCCATTTGTCTGACTGCTCCCATCTTAACCCTCTAGACTATTTTCAACACACAAGGCTAAGGAAATTTAAAAATCAGATGTTACTACTTAACACCTATAGCTCCCCATTTTGCTAGGTAAAAGCCAAAGCCGTCAGGACAGTGTAACAAGGTTCTGTGCCATGTTCCACTCTACCTGCCCTGCTTTCCCCCGCCCCCTTCATTTTCAGCCGTGTAGTCCTTGTTCTGTCTCAAATAGACTTCAGAGCCTTTGGACTTGTGTGTCTTGTCTGCAGTAGTCTTTTTAGCTAATAGAATGGGTCTCCCACATCTTCAGATGTTGCCATCTCAGTAAGGCTTTTCCTGTTTGCAACCCTATTTATTCTAGCATGGGGGCAGAGGGAGAGAGAATCTTAAGTAGGCTCCAAGCCCAGTGCAGAGCCTGACATGGGGCTTTATCTCATGACCCTGAGATCATGACCTGAGCCAAAATAGTGTCGGATGCTAATCGACTGAGCCACCCACGTGCCCTGGCAACCCTATTTTAAATTGCAATGCTTCCTTTCTACTGGCCATCCCAATCCTGGCATGTGTAAGGTTTGCTGTCTTCAATTCCAGGAGAACAGTGATTTCCATTGTGTCCTTTGTACTTTAAAAAATATCTAGCACATGGTAGGCATACATGTACTGATGTGAGTAAACTGAATCAATGTTTTCATGTCAACATATAGTATCTTCCTTGGTTGAGATGTACTTGCTATTGAAGAGATAAAATATCTTCTTGATATACTTGGTATCTCTGGGATAAAATTTAGTACAAAATGCTTTTCAGGGGCGCCTGGGTGGCTGTCGTTAAGCGTCTGCCTTCGCTCAGGTCATGATCCCAGGGTTCTGGGATCGAGCCCCGCATCGGGCTCCCTGCTCTGCGGGAAGCCTGCTTCTCCCTCTCCCACTCCCCCTGCTTGTGTTCCCTCTCTCGCTGTGTCTCTGTCAAATAAGTAAATAAAATCTTAAAAAAAAAAAATGCTTTTCATATTTTCAGTGAATGAAAACATTCTGAAAATGCAAAATACTTAAATATGTTGTGTTGTTATGGAAAAGTGAATAAACTCGAATGAATTCCAAAGAAATTAACAGTCATAATACTCCTTTATTAGTACCAGCTTTTTAACTAAATTGGTTTTTGCCAGAGCTAAACAATTTAATATAAAAAAATGCCTTTTTTGTTCATACAGTATTTATAAAAAAGTACATAGTGGTTAGTTTTGCAACAATTTGCTTTTAGCCAGATATCATATAAATGAACGTAACAAATGAGATAAGAACAGTATAAATAAGAAGTTTTTGTAGTATTTACACTTATACAGAAACTAGCCCAAATGGTGTTCTAAGAAATTAAGTTTGCAGTTAAAGTGAAACTACTGATTCAGCATACTGATGACTTATTTTAATGCTTTTTAAAGTTCATATTATCTTCTATACTAGTTTTGACTATAATTTTGCATAGAATTACTTATAAAGTGTATTTTTGCATTTCACATCACAGTAGGAGCTTTTAGTATAACAGTACAAAAAAACACACAAAAAAATCCCCAAAACAAACAACCCACTAGAGCTCAGAAAAAGGTCAGATCTTCCCAAATCTAGTTTTTCTTAATATCTGGCTTCTTACTTTTGGGCACAAGGAATACATTGCCATCTCTTGTTTGCTGCAGGGAGTATTCACTAGGAGAGTACGGTTTTCCATCTTCATCCCGGAGCATGCTGAAGACTTCGAGATACAAGGTGCTGAGTTGTTTTTTCAGTAGATGGAGGCTTTTGTCATTCTCCCCTTTTTCTTTGAGTAATTTTTCTTTTTCATCTTTTAAATGATCCAAATCTTGTTCCAGTTCCACTATATTTTCCAGTTTTCTTTTTCTGCAATTCTGAGCAGCCACTTTATTCTTACCCCTCCTGCGTATATCTCGAATTAATGCCAGTTGAGCCTCACTGAACTGCTCCTTGGACATCATTTCATTGAAGTCATCAACAGGGAGGTTAATGATTTTTTCAACAGGAAATGGGATATGGAGAGCTTTTGCCCTTAGCTCATCTCTTGTGAGATGAGCCTCCAAGCGGCTTGAATGTTTGTCTTTTGTGAATGGGGTTTTTCGATGACCAGGGCTTACAGGCAATTCTTTCTTTGGCGTGTTTTCGCACTGGGCCTCCCGTGCTGGGGTGCTGTGCCCTGGAGATGGTGACAGGGGTGGGGCTGTATCTCCAGCAGACTGTACCGGCGGTGTTTTAGGGCCATTCTGTTTGACACTGCCAGGAGCACTATCTATCTCTTCCATTTCAGAATCACTGAAGCCAAGTGGTGTGTCTCCATAGACAGAAGATTCCACCGAGTGTTCTGGTGATGCCATGCCAGGACTTGTGTTGAGTGAAATGCCAGAGTCAGAATCATTGAATTCTGTGCTTTCAGGGTGGTTTTGGTTGAAGGCTTTACAAAGTGATAGATCAGAAACATCAATGGGCCCATTAAGAAGTTCAGAGAGTGACTGGCTTAAAGTAGCAGAGGGCATGCTGTTGCTACTACCGGGTTCTGCTATGAAAGCAGAATAAAATTCATCACCAAAATCTGTGTTAATTGTGGCATCTGAATTTAATGAGTTCACGGTCAGCTGGCTGGAATCTTCTGTGGAGAGAATGCTGCTGAAGGAATCCTCGAAAGCACTGAGAAAATGTGGACTGCAGTTACCTACTTCTTTTTCCAACGAGGGCATTGAGGAGAAGAAATGGTAACTGTCGTCAATTTCTGTCATTTTGGTTTCTGGACTTGGAACCGTGCTAGTCTCAACCAACTTGTCATTTTGAATATTAAGACACTGTGTGGAAAAGAAATTTTGACAATGTAAATCAAGGTTAAATATTTTAATAGCTGATTATATATATCTCATGGCAAATATTTATTTTTAAAGATTTTAAAGTAATCTCTACACCCAATATGGGGCTCGCACTCACAACCCCACGGTCAAGATTCGCATGCTCCACTGAATGAGCCAGCCAGGTGCCCCTGATGGCAAATATTTTTAATAGCTGATAATCTGTATCTGATGGTAAGCTCTTTCCCCACCCCTATTCTTTGCTGTAATTCAGATAATTCCCATTTCTAACATATTTAGGTCTAAGCATATGTATTATTTTCATAGTTCCTAGATCAGACTTCTGGCCTACAAAGACCAGATCTTTCCTCAAGACATCCAGTCCATTTAACTAATAAAAGTATACTTCAGTGAGCACGGGCAGCTCTCCTGACTAAAGTTTATTTATTTAAGTAATTTCTATACCCAGTGTGGGGCTCAAACTCAAAACCCCGAAAGAGTCACATGCTCTTGTGACTGAGCCACCTGGCGGCCCTCTCATGACTAATTTTTTTTTTTTTAAGATTTTATTTATTTGACAGAGAGAGACACAAGCAAGAGAGGGAACACAAGCAGGGGGAGTGGGAGAGGGAGAAGCAGGCTTCCCACCGAGCAGGGAGCCCGATGTGGGGCTCGATCCCAGGACCCATGACCTGAGCCGAAGGCAGGCGCTTAACGACTGAGCCACCCAGGCGCCCCTCTAATGACTAATTTAAAAGCACCCTCCAATCCTTCCATTAAGTAGGTGGCATGTAAGTAACTGGAGTAATTAATTTAAAGGCACTGAATATAAAAGTATATTTGGCATTTATTGATATGAGATCTTAGTTACCTGCAATTCTGGAATGGATAACAGCTCCTCCCAAACTTGCTCAATGTCCTGCTGCATATTGTCTAGATCAGCAATGACTGACTGAACGACGAGAGTCTGAGGTGACTGAGCCTGATTAGGAGCAGTGAAGACTGGATTCTCGATTTGGCTGGGGAGATCAGGAACAAGTGACTGAAACGCAGCTGAAGCAACCTAAAATTGACAAAGCATTTATCTACGTGAGTCTGCCAGCAGCAGTGGGGAAGTACACTCCCAGGCACCATCACAACACCTTAAACTGGAACTGGCTAACAGTTCTGTATTTCTCTAGTTATAACCACTTATAACCCCTATTTCCATATAATGAAACAAATCTTTTTTTCCCCTGCCCAACTGACTCCAAACTGACTCATTTACTAGCTTAATTGTTCTATCCCTTGCATTTGAAGGTAAATTTCAAAATAAGTAACAGTCTTTAGGATTTAATTTGTATCTCTTGGTAAAAATACCTATTATAGTGCTTCAAACACAATACATTTAAAATTGTAAATTGAGCAAGTCTTGGTTTATTACCCAGCTTGATTTTCACTCACCAAAAAAATTTTTTTTTTTAAAGATTTTATTTATTTATTTGACAGAGAGAGACACAGCGAGAGAAGGAACACAAGCAGGGGGAGTGGGAGAGGGAGAAGCAGGCTTCCTGCGGAGTGGGGAGCCCAGTGTGGGGCTCGAGCCCAGGACCTGGGATCATGACCTGAGCTGAAGGCAGACATGCTTAACGACTGAGCCACCCAGGCACACCCCCCCAAATTTATTCTAAGTACCTATAACCAATGAGTTATTTGTTTCCATGGTTATGCATATCCATGCTTCTGAGTATGCAGGGATAAGTGGTTTTGGTTTTGTATTGTGTAGGGGTCTTTTTTTTTTTTTAATTGTAAAGTTATCTACAGGCTAAGGTTTCTCTGACAAAATTTCCTCCTAAAATATTTTTTTAATAGAGACACACTTATCGGATATATTAGATACAGTTGGGGAGTTTCCCTGTTAGCCAAATGTTGTACCTCATTGTCATCTACAAATGGGAATGTCTCTGCCAAAAGCTGCATGCAGTCATCAAAGTACAAAGCATCTGGTTTGGGAATGTGGGCAACCTAGATGAAAGACATAAAAGAAGAAAAAGATTGTTCAGTGTCATACAAGGTTTATAATTTAATCAAACATTTATCCTCTTTCAGAAATCAGTTCAGTGTGGTATAGAGCACAGAATCACACCAGACTATCTGGGTTCCATTCTTGGCTTCCCCAATTTCTTGAGTGCTTTGGGCAAGTTACTGAGTCTCTGAGCTTCAACTGCTCATCTGTGAACAAAACGCTAGTAATCTGTACTACTGGTTTTACTGCTGCTAGATCCTTATGTAATGTTTCCACAGCTTACAAAGCACTGTCACATAACTTATGCCCTCGCAATCCTTACAACAACTCTGTGACGTAAGTTAGGTGTTGAAATCATCAGGAGGCTGAGGTTGGGAAGTTGACTTGATATGGTAATGAAGACATAGTAAAAGACAAAGCTGGAACTCAAATCCAGATGTTTTAACTCTTGGGCCAGGCATTTGTTCCTTAATCCCTGACACCTTCCCAAGAACTGAGTTTTCTGTACCTGGGAGTAGTTGGCAGATCCACTGGTTTCTGATGGGATGTGCTGGGCTGGCTGAATTGGGAGGAATTCACCTGTTTCTTCATCTAGTTGTAATTGAGCAAAAAAGGCTTTCTCTTGCTCCTTTTGGAGTTGTTCTTGTCTTTCCTTTTCAAGTTTTTTCTGTTTTTCCAGCTCATGCTCCTTCCGTCGTTGACTGAAGTCAAATACTTCTCGACTTACCCCAAGATCTATGTCTTGCCTCCAAAGTATGTCAATCAAATCCATGTCCTGTGTTTAAAAAAAAAAAAGGAAAGAGACCATGGTTAAGATGGTTTTTTAAATGGCAGATATCATATAATTTACATTATGCCATTGTTGATGGTTGGGGGTAGGGAGATGACAATCTGAATGGAACACAGATCCAGTGTTCTGGAAGAGCATAGTTAATTCCATTCAATGAATCTATTCATTAAAAGAAACAACAGCCTACAAACACAGCCATCCATTCTAATCACTTATTACTTGGATTATTAACAACTGGGTGATGATAGAGGTCACTAAAGAGCAAAGTAACATGCTGCACATTAAAGCTCTTGAATTAAAAGAAATCCCACACTTGTTTAATGGAATATAGAAATTAGAGCAAGCCTCTAAGCCACTGGTTTCTTATGACAAATGGAGTTTGGAAAACATAATCAAATACACGGAATTTTTTCTAAACCTCAGCAAATATCCATTTTACAGAGGGGGGGAACCCTTGTTAAATGTCAATCTAGCCATTGCGAAATATCACCATTCTTTCGGTATTTCCTACACTGAATTACTTTCCCCCATCATTTCTTGCTATTCTTGTCCCCGTGGCTCATTTATTAAAACAATTTCCTCTTGACTTGAGTTTTAGCTCCTGAGGCATGAACAAATTAGTAAAGTCCTAATCTTGTGACCCATGGGTGAAGCAAGAGGCTGCCTTGAGAAAGACATAGTGCTCACTAGTTTCACTTCTGAGAAATCACAAATAACCCTCTTAAAAAAACGCACAAAATTAAAAACAAAAACAAAAAACATGGCTCCAGGGAAGGATGGAAGTTTATTTCTATTTTTTCTGATGATGTCAGATTCATCTCGTTTTCTTCCCCCCACTTTTTTTTTCTTTAAAGATTTTATTTATTTATTTGAGAGAGAGAATGAGAGAGCACATGAGAGGGGGGAGGGTCAGAGGGAGAAGCAGACTCCCTGCTGAGCAGGGAGCCCGATGCGGGACTCGATCCCAGGACTCCAGGATCATGACCTGAGCCAAAGGCAGTCGCTTAACCAACTGAGCCCCCCAGGCGCCCCCCCCCCCACTTTTTTTTTTTTTAAAGATTTTATTTATTTGTCAGAGACAGCACAAGCAGGGGGAGGGGCAGAGGGAGAAGGTTCCCTGCCGAGCAAGGAGCCTGATGCGGGACTTGATCCCAGAACCCTGGGATCATTACCCGAGCCCAAGACAGATGCTTAACCTACTGAGCCACCCAGGCGTCCCGGAAGTTACTAGAAGTTTTAAGGTATGGGGAGAATCTTAGAATGAGGGAATGGTTACTTTGATCTCTATAACAAAGCTAGGCCTTGGTACCATGTCCAGATTTTCCTAACCACATGTTAAAAGCAGTTTTTCTGATTTATAACTTTAGTTTTTGGAAAAGTCTACACAGGTAGGAAATTTAAATCACTTTCCATTTAAGAAGCCATTTATTCTGGGACGCCTGGGTGGCTCAGTTGTTAAGCATCTGCCTTCGGCTCAGGTCATGATCCCAGGGTCCTGGGATCGAGTCCCACATCGGGCTCCTTGCTCAGTGAGGAGCCTGCTTCTCCCTCTCCCTCTACTGCTCCCCCTGCTTGTGCTCTCTCTCTCTGACAAATAAATAAATAAAAATCTTAAAAAAAAAAAAAAGAAAAGAAGCCATCTATTCTGAAAATAATATAATGAACTGAGACTAGAAAAATCAAGACATGGGGGGGGAGGGAGCTGGGGCCTGCAGGCAGGTGGACACAGTGTGCACAACCATCACAGATGCACTTTAGTTCTGATGACGGCTGGCAGCACTGGATTGCCCAGTGTGTCAAGACTCTACTACTTTCTGCCTTCAAGGACCAAATAACATGGTTATTGCTTCACTGAGCAGTCAGGCTATTTCTACCCAACCGAGGAGGAGCAGACCACCCAGCCTAACGGCAGCATGGCTACGTGGGGAGCAGAGGCCACCTCCAAGCCCTGGTGGCAGGATCGGAAATGCTGTAAAACCCCGCTCGTCGGGTTTACCAGTGTCCTAGCCTGCAGCACGGTTAGAGTATCCGGTACACACAGCAGGTACAGTGAGGACAGCATCTGCAGCTCTTTACAACGACAGCTGACACCTACCAAAGGCTTTCTACATGCCAAGACTTGTTCGAAGTACTTTACCACATATACAAATGAATCCACAAGACAACCATATAAAGATAACATTCTTACTTTACAGATGAAAATACTGAGGTTTAGAAAAAAGGGATACTGCTAGAAAGTGTACAGGGATATGTATGTCCTGGGCAGCCTCAATCTTGGACTCGTGCTGTCTTAAACCACAAGTTACACTAAAAAATATAAAATCTGATCATTGACCAGTGGTTCTTAAATTGGGCAGGATATAAAATCCATTGTCATATATATACTTTGCTTTCACATCTTGGTGGTGTGAAAAAGTGGCCAGTTTACAGAAGGCTGGATTGAGCACATCACCTCAAATCGTCTTCATGGCCACAAGAGCATAACAACCATAGAGCATTTCTTCATACATGGCTATCTCCTCAGAGAGCTCCCCACTAACAATGAGCATGAAAATAATTTCCAGTTTAAAAATGATGTGTTTCCACCATTTTAATGGACACGTTTATCCAAAGGTCATGTGAAAGACAAAGGTCCAAGGCAGAGAGAAACCTACTTTAAAATTCTGATTTGCTTAGGTCATATCTTCTTAGTGAATTTAGATACAGCAGAGAATCCTAACTAGGCTATTCTCCAAGCTGGAGCAAAGGGACCAAGGTATTAAGGAAGTCTTCAGACTATTCACATCCACTGAAAGCCAGCACTAAAAATTAAAAGAATGCACGATCACATAGTCTCAGCTGAACTCCAGTCCCTCTCAAAAACTGATGCAGACAGTGCGCTGACCTCTTCAGATCAACAGAAGAGAAATGCAAACATGTGTCCTGGCACCTAGGACCACTCTGGGGCATCCCTTCCTCACTTGCCCAGAATGCCTAGGCGGGGGCTTCTCCTTGTTAAGAGATCCCAGGATAAAAAGCAACATCCAGTTTTGATTTTTTCATAAAAGAACTGAAAGAACACTGAAGCAGTTTATGCTGCAAATACCTGCTCACAAACCAGACTTCCAGAGTATCCCCAGAACCCAGCTCTAGGGCCTGAAAGAAAATTTCTACTGTAATTTACTCTAAAATTATCAGAGGCGGCCACACCAAGAGTTGATACAACTCTCTTCTTTCCTTTCCTCCCCTTTCCCCCCACCAGATGAGCTGTCTTGAGTGGGTTCAGGTGGTTTAGCTATACATTCAGTATATAATTGTTCTATCCCACCCCTATCATACAGATGTTGGTGGACCAAGTGAGACGTGAAAGAAATCTCTCCATAAATGTAAAGTCTATGCAAATGTTGCTGTGCATGCTGACAGTGATGGTTCTAGAACTTGCTGTAATAGAAGCAAGATCAAACTCAAGGCCAATGGATGATCATGAAGCTGTGGACCTAAGTGCAGTGGGAGCGTGCAATAACATTCGGCAATGAAGCTACTTGGTTCCTCCTCAGGGAGGGTCTGAAATGGGACTACTGGGCTTGTGCAACATGTGTTGAAAACAAAAACACATAACATATACTTTCCTGTTTACTTTTATGTACACACATACACCCATTCAACTGTTGTTCAATTCCTGATAGGACTACCCTTCAATGTCCAGCCAAACTAATTTTTTTTTTTTAAAGATTTTATTTATTTATTTATTTGACAGAGAGACACAGCAAGAGAGGAAGCACAAGCAGGGGGAGTGGGAGAGGGAGAGGCAGGCTTCCCGCTGAGCAGGGAGCCCAATGTGGGGCTCGATCCCAGGACCCTGGGATCATGACCTGAGCCGAAGGCAGATGCTTAACCGACTGAGCCACCCAGGCGCCCCAAACTGATTCAATTTTTAGCAATTTCCCCTAACATACTCAGAAAAGGACACCCTGATGGATCCTTATCAACAAACAGGAAAAAAGAGATCACGAAGCATCACTTGGATCACCTCTTAAGCATCCTGTTCTCCTGTGATCTGAAACAATGCTGGGCCCAGGGAGGCGGAGCAGCTCCTACAGCCCGAGCTTACTGTCTCCACCAGGAATGCTACCAAAAGATGTTTCAAGTGACAACATCTACTTTTTTTTTTTTAATATTTTATTTATTTATTCGACAGAAAGAGTGAGAGAGCACAAGCAGGGGAAGCAGTAGAGGGAGAGGGAGAAGCAGACTCCCCGCTGAGCAGGAAGCGTGACTTGGAACTCGATCCCAGGACCCTGGGATCATGACCTGAGCCGAACGCAGATGCTTAACCAACTGAGCCACCCAGGCACCCCAACATCTATTTGCTCTTAAGGTAGACTGGGCAGCCTTCCGTGAGATCATAGTGGGACCAAAACAGGTTTCAAAGTGTCCTCAGAGGTTTTCCTCTGTGTTTTAAAGTTTATTTTTATGTAGTGTTTATTGTTGCTATGAGAAGTCTCTAAAAGAAAACTTCCGCTTAAAAATAAAAGCAAGGGTAGTCTTAACTACCCTGAATTCCTTAAAACAGATGTTCTGATCAAATTTAGAATGAAGCAACAATGGGTTTCTTGTCATGGCCTTCATATATTATCCTCTTACATTTTCAGAAGAAAACACCTTCAGGAGTTTGATATTGTATGAAATCTTCAAAGCTTTATGTTGAAAATGAGAATTGTGTCCACACAAGACTTGCTGTTGGGGAGCCCCACGGCCTCGGGACTGTTCTGTACTTCCCTCACAGGCAGGGAGCACTTCCTGCAAGGAGCCCTGTGACGGGGCACATGATTTCTTCCACAAATGACCTATTCCCGCACGTGCACCATCTAAGAGGAAGGAGTCTGGGCACAGCCCATCTACAAACAAGAACAGGACACCAGACAGTGGGGAAGGGAAATGCCTAAGGAAAAGCTGAACTGCTCTAAGGCATATAAATCCCAGGCCTTGAGAAAGAATAGCTTCTT